AAAAAAAAAAAAGAACGACAATGAAAACCATGTTTCGAAAAAAAGCAAATAGAGAAAGGCATTTGGAGACCATCTACGGTCCAACACCTGGAAGCAATCTGCATTTGGAATCAAAATCGTATTTCACTAAATTAATTCTCATTTGTAAAATACCTGTTAAGTGTCCACTCATAGTTTTGTCATGACTATTGAATAACTGTCTGTATTTCAGTCTGGATGACTGAGGGACAGCCCACTCTGCCACAGGAGGGACACTGTGGGGAAAGAGGATGAACAATGAGGAACATATTTAAATTCTTTAACAACAGTAAACTAAGAACTTCCCTAGAAAACAGCTTTAACATTTCATTCACTTTCTAATCACTACTTCTGGATTTTCTGTAATGAGTATTTCTGAATTTTAAGGTTAGGAACATTTCTCTCAAAACAGACACGCTCGTTATTTTTCCAGAATCAAGGGAAAACACACCAGACCAAGTGACTGTTCCAAGTTACAGATACAATTCAAAATTTAAAGGTTCTACAAAACACGGAAAAATCTCCTTGTCACTGAAGTGATACACTAATGCCCAGGCTTTTCCAAACTTCTAAAAGTTTTCTTTCAGCTTAAAAAGCAATGCTGATAGCAAACAGATAACTGCCTTTAAAGGTATTCATTCTTTAATATTTATAACTTTCTATTTAGCAAAACACATTAACTTCTTAATGAAGGGAAATCACTTCATTCTGGGAAGTTTCAATTCCCACAAATGCTGAGAGAACAGAACCTGTCCAGGGTCATGGTGAATCAGCGGAGCGGTAATGGAAGGAGCTTTGCCTTCTTGCCGGCAATCCAGTGCTGACCTTTCCCTGCCCAAGTGCATCAACTCTGACCCAAGGAAACCACTACCAGCAGTCAGAGGGGTCTACGCCTCCTTAGTGATCAGGTCTCAGGGTAGTTCCTCACAACTATCACACTGGTACCTACGGCTTGTTGGAGCCTGGTGTCTAAATAGGGCAATTTAAACACAACGGCTAAGCTCTCAGTAAAAATGGCATTCCACTTCCAGGACAGATTATAACTAATGTCCCATTTGCAATTTCCTTTGATTTCAACAAAAATATCTATTTCTCATACATAAAAGCAAAATTTTAATCATAAATTAAACCTCTTAGTCATCATTTATATTATACTTAAAAACACACACTTCATAAAGTATAGGAAACAGATCCCAAATACATGAAAAGTATCTAATTATATTCACCTTTCCAATTATTATAAATTTCTTAGTAAAAAATACTTACCAAGATCGATTCTGCTGTGAGTAATTCTGCAACAACCTTCTCATTTTAAACTAACTAATATTTTGCTGATTCCCACTCTTGCCTACTTGTAAAAGCTAATTATCTTTCTCTTGCACCCCTGGAATATGGTGGGGTGTTGCACACAGAAGCTGCCCCAGATTATACTTATCAAGTCATAGTTTTCTGCTGAGACTTTCCTGAAAATTTAAATGCACGAAAAACTTCATTAACAGGTAACCAAAAACTACATGCCACATTCTAAAAATTTGCCGGAAATCTAAATTATTGAAAAGATGACTACCAAAAAAACCCCCAAACCAGCTGTCTTAATAGCATTAATGTTTGCTAATACTGATTATTTGTTCATTCTTATGTCACAAATCAATTTTAAGGCAGGCTTAAAAATCTCTTGTGGAGAGGCACAGAAAACTCAAAACGTCAGCATGGTAAAGGAGAAAGACTAACGAAGGAATTCAGTGTTAGTTTACATCTCAGCTCTGCCTTGTGGTAAAATGCAAACCGTCAGTGAGGATTCTAACCTCTCGGGGGTTTTCTTCCTCATTCACAATTCTGAGAGTATCTACTGCAGGTGACAGGGGGCTGAGTGGGATTAATGAGGTGTTTGGCAAATAGATGCTCAACAATATTCCTGAGTCATAGGAGTAAAACCTTAATTGAGTGGAACGCAAATATCTGTATACCACCATTAACTCAAGTTTCCAGAGCAAACTTCCATGGTTAGGAACTCATGCCTTAAAATCAGAAAGAACTCAGTTCAACTCCTGTCTCTGTCACTTCTGAGTTAGGCTATTTTGGGCAAATTACTAATGTCTCTGAGCTTCCTCCTTATCTACAACACAGAGAGAAGAATCTAGTCATCTTATAGGGAGGATGGTGAGCATTCCAAGAGCTAATGTGCATAAATCAGCATTCGGCATGGTACTTTTCAGTTTATGAATTTCCTTTAAATCATTTTAGAAAGGGTTATAAATTGTTCAATTATATTCAACACGCTCTTCTCTTGAAAGTGGGAAAATGACTTGATTCACTTAGGAAAGGTTTCTAATGAGGACTAAAACAAGAAAAGATGGAAACATCTTCACTTACATCCCCTTTTAACTGCAGAAGTTTGGAGATGGCTTACAAAGAGACTTAACGTTTCCTCTTAGTTCAGCAGTATGCAAGGGGGAAATTAAAGGTAAAAGGAAATAAAAATAAGAAATATAATATGAAACTAAGATTGGTCAAAATATAAGCAGTAAGGTCGTATCAGCTTTGCCAAAATTGGGCCACATATTTGATCAGTAACGACTGTCCGCTAATCTGAATAATTCATTTCATAAAAGGTGTAAGGTTTCAGTAACAGTCCACACAGATTCCATGAGATTATCTGAGATAGAATAAAAAGAAGGTGGACTGTGGCTCTAATCTTCACCTAAAAAATTTTATACATAAATTCTTAGATGATTAATACAAAATAGTTAATTTTCCCCTCCTACCTGGAGTTCGATTTCAATATTTTTAAACATTAGTAAAACTGGTACCTATTTGTTTTCCTTGCTAAAAAAACAACACCCAAAGCTTTTTGAGGAAATGTCATGTTCTTTATCATCTCTGCAATATATAAGTGATAAAACCTGGTAACATTATCCAGAACTAATTATCGGCATCCTACAAAACAGAAGATAATAAAGGAGTAGCTAACTCATTTTCAGTTTTAGGAGTTAATCAGATAATGGCTTTAACTCAACTGCCCAATTAAAAACAAGCACACTTACCTAGCCACATCGAATGACTGTGCCTTCTGTAATTTAGTGTTTAATTGTGACCCGGGACCAGATCTACTAAAGGAAGAGCTCTTTGGCAATGTGGCTGCTGTAAAAATAAATAAATGTTGAATAATTTTAATCCTACAAAGAAAAGAAACATTTCCTTACTAACGAAAATGAGAATACACAGTCACCAAACCTGAGGCAGAAATTAGTCTTCCCTTATCACCCAGGACTCAAAAAAGAGTTATTCCCTCCTCGCTCCCTGCCCCTTGCCAAAAAATTTTCCAGATTTACTCATTCATTCCTGCTGAAAATCACCTTCCTAAGTAGAAATGTTTACAGTCCATGGATTTAACTCTTTGTTAAACGTTTCGTATCACATTTTATGGGATCTATACAGATAGCTAAAGAAACAACAGCTTAAACACATAGGATATGGCAGTTCCTTAACTGTGCTGAAAGTATGAGTTCCAGACAGAAGAGTCAGGAAGTCCCAGCCTTGCAGTCCTGGCCACACAACAGGGGATGCTATGGAGGATCAGCAGCTCTTGTGTCTGATTCTCATTTGGGCTGGTGGTTAGTGGTGAGCCAGGGAAAAACTCTGAGCCTTAGCCTCATCCCCCTCATCCCTGCCTACTATCTTGCAACATTTGCCATCAGCCACAAAAGCAAGAAGACGGAGTGCATGGATTCACAGATACTACTGGAAAAGCAGCTGCAACAACTTTCTCAGCTGTCATTATCTGCGGACATGGTCACAAATGAAAGGTGAAATACATGGGACAAGAAAATCTTTTAAAAAAAAAAAAAGGAAAGGAAAAAAGGTGGAACATTTAGATTCTTTGGCAGACAGATCTTGACAGATGTAAGAAACCCAAGAAGCTGGGCAGAGAAATAATGATTCAAATATAATCATTACCCATGGCTAAAACCCAGGCCATCCTCACTACTAAATTACGCAGACACATCCAAAGTACTTAAAAAAAAAAAAAATAAAACTTCCCCCAGGGGCTTCTGGGTGGCTCAGTCAGTTAAGCATCCGACTCTTGGTTTGGGCTCAGGTCATGATCTCGGGGTCGTGGGATCAAGCCCCGAATCAGGCTCCACACTCAGCAGAGTCTGCTTGTGCCTCTCCCTCTGCTCCTCCCTCTGCTCTCTCTCAAATAAATAAAATCTTTTTTTCTTTAAAGATTTTATTTATTTATTTGACAGAGAGGGAGAGCGAGAGAGCACACAAGCAGGGGGAGCAGCAGAGGGAGAGAGAGAAGCAGGCTTTCCGCTGAGCAGGGAGCCCGATGCGGGGCTCAATCCCAGGACCCTGGGATCGTGACCTGAGCCGAAGGCAGACGCTTAACCCACTGAGCCACCCAGGTGCCCCTAAATAAATAAAATCTGTAAAAAAAATACTTCCCACATTGGATAAGAATTTACTAAGATTTGTAGACCACATCTACAGTTTATGCTTTCTTTTCACTAACGGGAAAAGACTTTTAAGTCTCAAAATGAAATTAACTACACCAGGAACTTTTTAATCCTTTCCTTCAATGAAGAGCAGGTAATACTCCACCCTTAAGGTATCTAGCCATTTAATAAATGTCCTTCTCCCTTCCACCTCATTCACTATACCTCCTCAAAAAAAAAAAAAAAAAAAAGGAATATGCAGTTTTCCTTTTTCTCCCCCCACATAATCCTACTCCTAAAGGGAATGGCTTATTTATCAGCAATTCATAGGAGCTGAAGAAAAGCAGTCGCTTACTTATGGAAATAGTAAATGTTCGATTACTACCCAAACTTGACTTGCTCTTGTCAAGCCCTGGAAAGGAAGTTAGGCTCTTGGTTTTAGCTGTTGAGTTGACCTTCGCCCATAATGGTACCAGAGCTCCATCATTTCATTCTCCTTTACTTCTCCCTGGCCTAGCAGAGCCCACTTACTATGTCGGAAAAAAAATGGGATATTAAATTTGAAAAAGGAAGATACTTTCCTCTGGAACCAAATGCCACTCACAGATAATCAGAAAGTGAAGACAGAAGATTTAGCTAGAAGGAAGAGTTAAGATACACGTTGTAAAAATTCAGTCTGCGGGTGCATCAGGTCACGTACCAGGATGAGCAAATGCAGGGAGAGGCTGTATGACAGGGGGAGCCCCGTTAGCCAGGGGAGGCACTGCTGCTGTAGGAACAGAAGGTACGAGAGGTGGAGACATCCCCACAACTGGAACGGGTCCCATTGGCACTGAAGCGACGGCTGCAAGCGGCGACATGCCAGCCATACCTCCTATACCTAGGAAGGAAGAATTCCGACAAAACTCACGCACAATCGCTGGGCCACATTCAACGATAATTAAGCCAAGAGTGTTTGAAGAAACAAATCACGTCCCAGTGGTAATACAGTCCCATTTAAAATATAAATTCAGGAAAAAATATATATAAATTCAGATTAATCATTTTGGTGAATACCAAAAATTATGTCAAGGATCACATCATAAGGGCACAAGACCCAACCTGAAGAGGGACCTATGGGCCAAAGTTGAGGATCAATAAGAATAGTAACTGTAATGGAATGAGAATTAAATTTATGAATTCATAATGATATTTAAAAACAAAAAAAAAATCCTAATTGGCCATCATAGGTAATAAATGTATTCTGAAAACTAGTATAAATAAACGAGGCAAAGAAATGAAGCATCCACCCTGCCTTTCCTTTACATACTGAACCTCAGAGTAACCAAACATTTGACAGGGAAGTTTCTCTTTATAGAAGTATTCTAACCAGAGTGAAGAAATGATAGAACGAAATAAATGTTTCCTTCCTTTTTTGTTTCTTTGTCTGAGCTTGTGATACTGTGACATAGTAAGAAATACATATCTGGTCTTGGTCCCCGGTTCCTGGTTCCCGGTTCCTGGTTCCTGGCAGAGCTCCTAAAACCCTTGTGATTTCCTGACTCACAGGAACATCTTTTGTTACAACATTTGGTCTTTGCCCCTGGTTCCTGACACAGGAGCTTCTAAGACCCCTGGAATCTCTGGAGTGGTAAGAGTGTCTTTTTGTATTCAGATAGGGTGACTTGGTGGCTGGGGGCCCCTAAACAGATGCAGGACAGAAGCTGGTCATGGGCAAGACCACAGCATGGTTAGTGGGGTGCAACTTTCGATCCTATCCCAGCCCCCCCACCTCCACACAGACCTCAGGGGAGGGTAGAGGGGCTGGAGACTGAGCTAATCAATGGCCAAGGAAGGATGTAATCAATCACACCTATGTAATGAAGCTTCCATAAAAACCCCTACACTATAGGGTTTGGAGAACTGCCACGCTGGAAAACACAAGCACATGCTGGGAGGGTGGCACACCTCAACTCCATGGGGACAGAAGCTCTTCCACTCAGGACCCTTCGGGGCCTCGCTCTTATATACCTCTTCATGCGCCTACACTTCTGTATGTATCCTTCATTATATCCTTTACAACAAACTTTCCTTGAGTTTCGTGAGCTGTTCTAGCAAATTACAGAAAGGGGAAGCAGGGTGTGTGGGAGCCTCTGACTTTGTAGTCAGGTTGGACAGAAGTATGGGTACCCTGGGGACCCAGCGCTTGTGACTCATGTGTGAAGTGAGGGCAATGTCGTGGGACTGGGCCCTTGCACCCATGGAATCTGACATTAACTCCAGCAGTTACCATCAGAGTTGAGTTTAATTATAAGATAATAAGTTAGTGTCCAGAGAGTTGGAAAATTGGGTGGCGTGGTTCTTCTGGACACAAAATTCTTGGCTTAGTCTTTCCTTGATAATCCTAAATATGTCACTCCATTTTCTTCTGAGATAAAGCACTGCTGTAGGGAAGTCTGAAGATATTCTAATTTTCTTTCCCTTGTAAGTCATGTGCTTCCTTTTTCTACATACCCAAATAATTTTTTGTTTTACTAACATTTATCTTAGTGCTGGTTTCTCCAGGCTGATATTCTCGAGCACATGATAATCCTCTTTCAAACACAGTTTCAAATCCTTTATTTCCAGGAAGTTGTCTTCAACTAGTCTTTACCGTTTGTTCTCTTCCCTTGCTTTGGTTCCCTTCTTTAGGGACTCCAACTATATTCAATTTCCTTTGCCTTCAATATTGGTCACTTTTTCTCAAATTCTTATTATCTCTTGTTAATTTTGTTTTCATTCTTGAAATCTTCCTCTTTACACCTTCTGTTTCTCTTCCAATAGCATCTCTTGTGCTGCTTCTAGTTTGGTCTCCATTTCTGAAATGACTTTTTTTTTCTTTCTCCTTCTTTCCTGAGTTCTGGCACCTTGTTTCCGAGGCTTTAAAATTCTGACTGTGTTGGTCTTCCATGACTTGTGTCATCTTCTTAGTATTTTTTTAGCTTGTTTTGAAATCGCAGGTTACCGGGGCACCATCATTCTTCACAGGGGTGTTATTCAGCTCTTTCTTCTCCTTTTTCTAATAATAACTTTGTGTGGGATTTGACCTTGCCTGATACTTCCTGTAGCTCATTTTTATGTGAGTCTTGCTTCCTGGGATTTCCAGCCTCTATTCTCCACCCCCACATTGGTCTGGACCTTCTCCTTCTTTCGTGTCTGTGTCGCTGCCCTGCTCAATTTGGATTCCACTCCCAGTCATTTCTCCTCAGTGTGGGGATTTGTCACAAGTGGAAGCCTTGTTGGGCCAGCTTTTAAATAGCTGCTACGAAGATCATCATCCTCTTACCAACTGACTAACTTTCCTGAATGAGTATTTTCTAAATATTTCTAAAGAAATGCATCTAACGGAGGCTGTGTTTTGGATACATCTCTCTTGAGTATGCTAAATCTTAATTCCTGAAATTTTCCCACCTCTCCTCAACCATTGGGTTTTCCCTCTCTTCTCTAAAAATGCAGGGGCACTTCCCATCCTAAACACAGCCTTCAGCTGACATGCTCCTCCAGGTTTCTCTCTCCTTCACAGTAAAACTCTCCCCTCTTCTAAGCCTCCAATCAGGCTTTTGTCTCTACCACTCCAATGAAACTGCTTTTCAAGGTCATCTTTGTCAAATCCAATCACTTTTCTGTCCTAGTCTTCCTCAGTCTCTCAGAAGCAGCTCAAACAATAGAATGGTCCCTCCTTGAAAAATGTTTTCTTGGCTATTAGGACACCAACCTCCTCTTGCTTCTTCCCTTTTACTACACCTTTAAATGTCACAGCATGGCAAGGCTTGGTCCCAGGTCTTCTGCCTGCTCTAGCTACACATTCTAAGATATTTCATCCAGCCCCAGGGCTTTCAATGCTATCTATATTCAAATTCTCCCAGAGCTGATGGATCCCTCCTCTGAGATCCGGACCCATGGATTCATCTGCCTCCTTGGAAATCCACTAAACCCCTCACACTTAACAAGATCAAAACCTGATTTACTTTTCCTCCAAAAAATCCCTGCTCAGTGGGGAGCCTGCTTCTCCCTTTCCCTCTGCCTGCCTCTCTGCCTACTTGTGTTCTCTCTCTCTGTCAAATAAATAAATAAAATCTTAAAAAAAAAAAAAAAAGGAATTATTCTGTGTGTAATATTCTTACCTCCACGGAAGGAAGAAGATACCAGGCACACTCACAGAATTTCCTGGAATACAGCTGGCTGCCCTTAGGAAAGTCACACTATCACTCACTACATCCCCTTTCCTCTCAACAGAGGAAAGTTGAAGAAAATGGTTGCTCAACCCCCAGCTAGCCTTAATTCCACGTGTTAACATGTGCCTCAGCTCCCATGCAGACCACAAACCGTGGAACAGTGACGTTCCATGCCACCCATATGGTTTGGTGAGAATGAAGGTGGGAAGAGAGAAGGTAGTAAGGAAACCAAGAGCCTTTGAAAAACTGTATGTCTGGACAGGCTCTATCTCCCTCTTTAGGAATATGCAAACTGTTCACCTTCTTGGAATCTCGGTTCTCTCATTCATGTAAGAGGGCTAATAATTTCTGCGGATTTTAGGGTTATTGTTGTGACCAAATAAAATACGATTCGTGAAGGTATAAGATGTCAAACGGCCAGGAAATGCATGGTCAGGGAATTTTTACTATTAACTAGAAAATAATGATCCTAGTAACAAATGATTTTCTTCTCAAGTAGCCACATAAGAAGTGTAAAAAAAAAAAAATCATCTTGGGTTGAGCTGAGAGGTGGTAACTAGAAATACTAGCAAAGGTCAGATGTTTGAGCAAAGCTAAGCAAACCTGGTTAGGACACAACGTACTTTTAAGTTCTCTCATGTTCGGATATTGTCTGGTGATTAGCCTCTTGAAAATAATTTACTGAGGATGTCAATGTGACGAAAAGGAGGGGAAGGAAAGGCAGTGGAGAAGCCCCACAGAGGAGCTCAGGACTGACTGGCAGAATGGCGGCTCAGAAATCCCAGGTTCCCTTGGAGGCAGGGGCAGCTCACTTAAGCAGCAGTAAAACCCACTGGGGCAAGCGAGGCTGCAACCTCATGAAAATAAATCAGCAGTGACTCTAGAGCGGAAAGTGCTGCTGCAGAATGGAATAAGAGAAGACATATTAAATGTTAGGGGAAGAATCTCTGACCCCCCGGGTTTGAGGGGAAAAGAGGAAACGGGATGCCTCTGGTTATTTGACTCTCTGTCCCCCCTGAGGTATCTTCTTGCAGCACCGGAAGGGAAGCCAAAAGAAAACCCAATACCCTTTAGCTGTTTTAACCCATGGGTCCTGACCAAAGGTTGGCTACAGGGACCTTCAGGGATTCAGAGCCACCTGCACTTAAATAAGCTGGCTAACTAAGGACTGAGGGCTGTGAACACACGATGGACAAGGCCGACAAGGGCCCTGGTCACGTGGAACGGTCTGTATGTACTCCTCACCTCTGCTCTTCCTAGCCTTTGCTCATGCGTGATCTCCTGAGTTTCTTTCTTTTTCTTGGATCACGATCCTTCTTGCCTGAACCCAAACCTGCACCCTTCCCTTTATGACCACAAGTCTTGTGGCTAAACCTCACCAAAAGAAAGGCAATGCATAGTTTTTAATTGTAAATCTATTAAGTAAAACTACAGCATTTATTTATCTCAGCTTATCATTAATTGTATCAGAGACAACCTCCCTTACTCTTGACTGCCCCCTCCCAAACCTACTTCGTATCACCTGTCATCAGATCTATCAGGAGGAAGGGAAACTCTAGCCACAATTTCTGTGTTTTGTTAAAACCGTCTAAGAATTTTCTGATGAATCAGATATTAGATCTGATTACTGTAATCTTTAAATCAACCTAAATCATTAAAGTCTAGGGTGAGAACAGAGAAGAAATCAGAACTCTTGGTGACCTTAGTCAATTAATTACTGATTACTTTTTAAGAAAAATATCTGGCTAAAAGGTATCTTTTTACCGAATTGTGTTTTAAACTGAGATACCATTTATTTTGTCCTGCTTCATTTTGTTCCAAGAAAGCATTTAATGTAGCCAGTTGTCTCAATACTATGAATTTAAAAATATGTTGCTAGATACCATTATCCAAAGGAGCTGTGTAGCCGCAGGGGAAAACAGAGGCTATGCAAACAGAAAGCCGAAGGGAAGCATAGGGCATTGTGAAGGGTCAAGGACACAGTAAAAGCAATGAAAAGACCCAAGATGCGGTAGCAGACTGCAACTGTATTCCTTTTACCCTGACAGTCTGGACCTTTGCTTTCATTCTGATTACTAGCATCTGTTAAAAAGAAAACCACAGGACCCAAATGGGGTCACTCGGGCCAAGTCACCAAACCTGGGGCTTAATACCCAAGCTAACGGCAGGGTCAACCTCCCCCAGCAACATTGCCTTAAGCAGTCGGTCAGGAATTTTCAGATCAGCACCAGGGAGGTCATCTGTCCCAGGGGCCCTCTCCATCCCCCAAAGGAAGATGAGGTAATTGACCTGATAAAACCTCCTGGCCTTCCACTCCAGGGAAAGTGATCTTGCCAGGTACAATCCTTTCTTTTCTTTTGCTAACAACTTCCTTGCCCCACCCTCCTTCCTGTAAAAACCTTCCATTTCAGACAACAACTGTGAGCTCCTCTCTACTTGCTCCAAGGGATGCTGCCCAATTGAGGAACCATTTAGTAAAGTCAATTACAAGTTCAAATTTACTCAGATGAACTTTTGCTCTTTAACACATGCTAGAGTTCGAATGTGAACATGGTCTTCTCCTCCAGCATTAACCGCCTGCAGAGGACCAGGACCATCATTTTTTGGACAGAACTGCCTCCTAGAGTATCACAAGGCTACAAACTGCAGAGGGGAAAAGGGGAAAAATTATTTTTAAGATCTACAAAGAAATATAGGAACCAAGTCCTTTTCAGACTTACCAAAGGTTGGTGCACTAGAAATAGCAACGGGCTGCTGTTTCATGACAGGGGGAAGTGCAGAAGGGAGCTGATATCCTTGCAGCTTGAGTTTGATGAGTTTCATAGCTATGGAAAACTCCACTTGATCCATTCGTCCATCATTGTTCATATCAGCTAGTGCCCTGCAAACCAACATCGAGGGCGAGGAATGACTGACCATAAAAGAACCTTTCCTAAACCACCCTTCCCACCCACACTTGTCAGCCCTGGGGCAAAGAGAAGAGAAGAAAACCAAACAGACCAAACCAAACCAAAACTTGTTTACCAAGCTATAGGGAGTAACCTGGGAATACTGAGAAGGTTTTGTATAAAAGTAAAATACTTTCTATTGTGTTATTCTTTACTTATAGGATACATGAAGTAATTTTTAGTCTGAATGCCAGGATATGCACTTTGGATATCAAATGGGATTCTTTTTGAGGTGGGGAAAAATGTTCTAAAGTTGGATAGTGGCCATGACTGCATGACTCTGAACACACTAAAAACCAGTGAATTATACATTTAAAAAGGGTGAATTTTATTGTGTGAATTATGTCACAATAAAGATGTTAGGGGAAGGGGCACCTGGCTGGCTCAGGGTCAGGAGTTCAAGCCCCATGTTTCCTCTAAAAAGTTATTAGGGGGAAAGGGTAGGAAAAGAGAGTTTATTTCTATGGATACTTGACCAGACAGCACCAACTCCTCTGTGGGGTTTCACGAACCTCACCATGGAGACTATGCTACGATATAGTTCTCCTACCTTTAAAGATGTGAACATTAATTAAATGAGCCTACACATGTAAAAATGGTACTCAGGCATAAATGATCAAGTGTAACTTGCAATGAGTATTTTCCTCCCCAGGTTTTAATTTTTATTTTTTCTTTCTTTCCTTTCTTTCTTTTTTTTTTTTTAACTGAAGTAGATTTGACAATGTTATGTTAGTTTCAGGTGCAATGAGCTTTAAGCATAGTATCTCAAAGAAACTTAATAAGCAAAAGAAAAGGTTTTTACAAGTGGAAATGACTTCATGCAAACTACAACTGTGCATATTCACAATTAACCTCTTTTTTAATTTCTTTCTTTCTTTTTTTTTTTTTTTAATTTTATTTATTTGACATAGAGACAGAGAGAGAGGGAACACAAGCAGGAGGAGTCGGAGAGGGAGAAGCAGGCTTCCAGCTGAGCAGGCAGCCTGATGCGGGGCTCGATCCCAGGATGCTGGGATCATGACCTGAGCTGAAGGCAGTCGCTTAACCAACTGAGCCACCCAGGCGCCCCCTTTTTTAATTTTTTTAGTTAACATGTATTGTTTCAGGGGTACAGGTCTGTGATTCATCCGTCTTACACAAAACCCAGTGCTCACCACAACACACACCCTCCCCAATGTCCATCACCCGGCCACCCCCCTCCCCTCCAGCAGCCCTCAGTTTGTTTCCTAAGATTAGGAGTCTCCTATGGTTTGTCTCCCTCTCTGGTTTTGTTTTGTTTCATTTTTCAACTCTTCTGCATGAAAAATGTTCATCCCTTGAGGCGCCTGGGTGGCTCAGTCAGTTAAGTGTCTGCCTTTGGCTCAAGTCATGAAACCAGGGCCCTGAGATCAAGCGTCACACTGGGCTCCCTGCTCAGCAGGAAGCCTGCTTCTCCCTCTCCTCCCTGTTCATGCTCTCTCTCGCTATCTCTGTCTCTCTCTCTCAAATAAATAAATAAAATCTTAAAAAAAAAATGTTCATCCAGATCTCATTTTTTAGTCTAGATATTAAAAATGTTAAAATGATTTTTTTAAACCGATCTACTTTATTTGAAACAAGTGATAAGACCAGCTACTCCAATTAAATTACCATGACTAGCCATCTTTTAAATGAGCCATATCTAGGTAGTGTCCAAAAAAGACAATTAAGTTTGATAGAAAATTATCCTATATTGCCGGAGTTAACTCAAGGAAAGAAAACATAAAACACAATGAAAAGCATGACATACAACAAATATTAAAAATCTCTATAAGCTGTAAGGGTCAACACTATTCTTTTAAAAAGTAAAAAAAAAGGGGGCGCCTAGGTGGCTCAGTCAGTTAAGCACCTGCCTTCAGCTCAGGTCATGATCCCAGGATCCTGGGATCAAGCACCAAGGCATTCTCCCTCTCCCTCTGCCTCTGCCTGACACTCCCCCCTACTTGTGCTCTCTCCGTCAAATAAATAAACAAATAAAATCTTTAAAAAAAAAAAAGGTAAGAAAAAGTCATCAAGTGGGAGATGGGCTACAGAAACCACATTTGTGCCTCAGGTAGGTACAGACCTCGGCTCTCCTGCAGTCAATGATCCCCTTCGGCAAACCCCACCAGTGGAGTCCAAATTCCATTCACCAATAGTGAGCCTGAGGGTCATTCCGCATATGGACCTTGGTCACTTGAATTCGTACATGAACTGCTCATTTACATCCTTTGTTAATAAGTTTTCTGATGGACTACGTGTCTTTTTCTTGTCAGTTTATAAAAGATCATTGTATGTTACATATCCACTGTTTATCTGTCAATTGTTGATTTTTTAAAATTTATCATTGGTCCATTTGTGTATAATATCTTTACTGTAAGAAATTCTACATTTTTATACCATATGATTTCGCTTACACGTGGAATAATCCAAAAAACAAAACGAACAAACAAAATGGAAACAGACTCATACATGTCAAGTCACTGTTACACACTTGAAATTAATATAATACAACTTTTATTAACTAATCCAGCCTCTTCTCACGGAACTAAAAAATACTTTTGCTGTATATTATGTTCATGTGAAGTGATACCTATTTCTGGATTATCTACTCTGAACAATTCCCAGTTCAGTAAGACAGTGATCTGATCATACGGACTCCATGGTACAGTCTAGTATCTGGCAAGACTTTTCTTTTCTTGGGGCGCCTGGGTGGCTCAGTCGGTGAAGCGTCTGACTCTTGATTTTGGCTCAGGACATGATCTCAGGGTCATGAGATGACGCGCCATGTCGGCTCCCTGCTCAGTGCAGAGTCTGCTTGTCCTCCCTCTGTTCCTCCCCCCACTCGCTCTCTCACTCTCTGTCTCTCTCAAATAAATAAATAAAATCTAAAAAATAACTTATTTTCTGAAATTTTGTTCAGCTATTCACAGATGTTAGTTTTCTTCCCTATGAATTTTAAAGATCATTTATCTATTCTACAAACAACCCTACTGGGATCCAAGCTGCAACTGCATTAAAGAGCCCACCAAAGACAATAGTATGTCTGTCTATCTGTTCAAATTTACAAATATTTCCTTTAATAAGATTAGATAACTTTGGGGGCACCTGGGTAGCTAAGTCGCTTAAGAGTCGGTTAAGCACCAGACTCTTGATTTTGTCTCAGGTTGCGATCTCAGGGTCATGGGATCAAGCCCCCATGTGGGGCTCCCCACTTAGCAGGGAGTCTGCTTGAGATTCTCTCTCTCAATCTCCCTCTGCCCCTGCCACCCCATTCTCTTTCTCTAAAATAAATGAAAAATAAATCTGTTTTTAAGAAGGATTGATCACTTTTTTTACATAAGTACTTTTCCTTTTTTAATTTTTTAAAAGATTTTATTTGATTGATTGATTGAGAGATAGAGAGAGAAAGAGAATGCCAACAGGGAATGGGGCAGAGACAGAAGGAGAGCAGGCTCCACACTGAGCCCAGAGCCCGATGTAGGGCTCAATCCCATGACCCTGAGATCATGAACTGATCTGAAACCAAGAGTCGGACGCTTATAACTGACCGAGCCACCCAGGCACCCCAGTCACTTTTCTTATTAAATGTATTCTTGGGAGTTTTATCATTTCCATCACTATTTTATTTTATTTATTTTTATTTTTTTTCCATCACTATTTTAAATGGAATATTTCCCCGTTTCCGTATTTCAATGCTTACTTCCAGCATAGAGAAAAATTTTGCTTTTAACAATCATTTATGCTATATTCAGCTATCTCACCAAACTTCTATAAATATTATTTTTTAACCTAAAATCTCTTAAGTTTGTTAAATATATTATTACATAACTAGCAAAAAAGAGTTAACTTTCATTTCCATTATTCATACACTTCCTCTTTTTTATTGGTCTTACTGCCTCTAAGACATCATTGAATGTGTGAGCATCCTGCTAAGTTCTGGATTTCAATGAAAGGGCTGCAGTGTTTCACTGTTTAGAGTAACATTTGGTAGTGATCTTTAGAAAGTAACCTAACATATTTAAAAAGTTTCCTTTCTACATATTAGAAATGGTTACTATATATATATATTTTTTTTTTAATCAAATGCCTACTCAGCATCTGCTGATCTGATCACACTTCCTTTTATCTGTTGCTATAATATTAAGAGAATGCCTTGATTCTGAACCAAACTTGCATCCCTGGCATAAACTCAAGTTGGTCATAATTTTGAATATATTGTTGAATTCTATTTGCTAAGATTTTGTTTTGATTTTTGTATCTATATTCATAATTAAGACTGGTCTCTGGTTGTTTTATTTTTGTAACTATCTTTCAGGTTTTATAAAGGAAGTTAAATAAGTAAAACGAGAGGTCAACTTTCCTTCTTTTCCTAAGTTTTTCTAAAAAGATATTCAGCTGTATCAGATGGTTCTCAGGGAAGAAAAAACTTGCCAACAATCAACATCAACATGCATACTTAAAAAAAAAAAAAAATCAAGCAGAGAGATTCTCACTCCCTATTCCCAACATCACAGCCCCCCAAAACATATTTTCTAATGAGAAACAAATATCCAATGTGGGATAATGACTAGTTGGGGGAGAAGAGACTTGCTAGTACCGTAAGAGTTTAATTAGAACAATTTCATGTCTCTAAAAACCTTCCACTGAAGTGCCTCAGTGGGAGAGGAGATGAGACATATAATTCTCAAGTTCCAGGTGCTTGACTTTAAGCCACCCACCATAATCCCACATTTTTTCTGAAAAATTTGCGTGATCTTTCTTAAAACCTGTTTCCCTCAACTAACAGAACATTAAGTGTTGGGACTCATTGATAGTGGTAACTCAAAGGACTTTATGCAAATACAGTAGTTACTGCTACAAAGCTCAGCTTTCTCCCCACTCCCCTCTCCCAATGAAAAAGCTGGAACTCTGGAAGAGCTGAAATTCTATTTCT